AATCAGTTCATCCCAACCTGTAATTAATTTCCTTCTCTCACCATTCATGTCCTCTTATGTTCCCCATCGTAAGAAGCAATCGAAACAAGAGTCATCGAGCCACTGTATTTATGTCGTCTGTCTATATTCATGATTTTCAAAATTTTTCTTCCAATGAAATCTTATCCTAAACCAATTACTTGAAACTGTGAAATCCCCAAGTTTCTGAGGATCTTTTTGAAAATGGCTGCTTTAGCTCACTTCATGCCCCAATAATAAATAATTTCATCTCAAAAGATGAATAATTTACCATCATTCTCTCTGTTTTAACTGAGCCTTGAGACTTTTAGTAACCTTCACAAGGCCACACAGCAAGAAGATGGGAGAGCCAAGAGAGGCGACCAAACAAAGCTTATTTCTTGTATATCTCTGGTATAACATCTATCACGCCACAAATACGCAGAGCTCTTGGTCTCTTGTGGAGCTTATATTTTTATTTAAGGGACTTAATTAGTTTTGTGGAGATCTAACACAGTTGTGGTTTTAACTAGCAACCATGCTGGCTGTTCAAAATTTTGAATTCATTAAAAAAAACCCAAATATCTATTTGCCCATACAAGGTAAACAATCAACAGTGATTCCAAGGGCCCGGGAAAGTCAAAAAAAACAATTAAAAAAAATTCCCTCATTTATGTCTTGTATTTACTCTATAAAAGACAACTGTGTCAAGAATTATATTCCTGCCAAATGGTTTGTAAAAGGAAAATCAGTTAAAGGAGGGTATATGCAACTCAATCCACCAACTGAGGAGTACAAATCCACACAATCCTTGTTTGTTTGAATGAATTTGATACAGCACTTAATCCCATCTCTTGTTCACCGAATGGGAAATTCAGCCTGAGTTACTCATGGGGCTTCTCTTCCAATTCTTTACTGTGATAACTTTCAGTTTCAGGAGTTCAGGGATATGCTTGTCGATTGGGAAAGCTTCCAAGAGTCAGGAAAATGTCTTCATGTGCTCTTGCTGCCAACTTGGGTACTATCAAGTGAAAAGGTGTGGGTCCCAAGAGTTTCTCCAGATTGATCAGAAATCTTTCCATATCTAGGGAAATAGTTCATGATGGCATTTCCGTTCTTTGTCTTTCCAGGATACATGGGGCAATCTTCTTAGGGGCTTGAGCTTTGTGTGATAATTGTTACTGTCAGCCGGAAACCATTTAGGCTCATTATACATCTAGTCTCACTCAATCTTCTTAAAATGCTAATGAAGTCAGGACTATCATTGTCCCCATTCTGCAGGTGAACAAAATGAAGCTCTCGGAGTTATCATAACGTTTCCACAACAGCCAGTAAATGACAGAACCTGCTCAGACATCAGAGTTACACTCCTTTACACCTGGACTCATCCCATTCTATTTACATTCTTGTCAATGCCATTGCCATTTCTCTAATCATTAGCAAGTTACAGTTGACTTATCATCTTGTGTTGCTTAAAGTATTGCTGCATGGAAGGAATAAATGCTCTATCCCAATGTTATTTGGACTTTTTTAAGATGATGATCAAGTCTCTCTGCTGTAATTTTTCTGCCTTTTAGAAATTATTAACCCCACTCCATTCTCCTTAAATTTTAATTTTTTTCTCAGATCAGATCGTTCTGTTTCTTAATGCAAGTCACTTCACTGTAGTTGTTCACGACCCATCGTGCAAGAGCACGGTGACTAGCCATTGCCTTTCTCAACTTAATGGTGAATACATCCTCAAGTAGGTACTCCTTTAACCAAGGAACGGAGACTTTCTCAAGGTAGTTCAGATAAAATGGAAGTTTAATAAAAGTCAAGGCAAGATAATCTTATGTAAAAGATTATGGTCAGGTCACTTAACAATTTGATAATTGTGAAAAAAACTAAGAACTATCCTGGTTGGCCTTCTGTATGGCTCTCTGGGCCCTCACATCCTCTATTCTTTAGGACTGCCAGGAGTGTGTTATGATCAAAATTGATTCACTCACACCCAGTAACACGCCTATTCCATGTCATCTCTTCAGACTAGCTATGTTCCTGCTTGCCCACAATTTTGGCTTGAGAGAGCTAAAATGAGCCTTGGATTTGATGGATTAATATACAATACCCACAAACCCCAACCTCTGTACAATTTATTTCACTACCAAACAAAAAGATATGATTGGCTTTGTTTAATTGTCCATGGATCAGTTACCTTCAGCAAGTGGTCACTGTGGTGCAACCAATGAAGATTGTACGGGTCCAGGAAGGCATATGTGGTCTGAAATGTCCATGTAAATCGGCACTGAAGCAGCTTTAGAACTATGTAGGAAGTGACCACAGAAGATTGCTCCTGGCGAGGATGAAATCCTACTATATGCCTCCAACAGGATGATTGCTTAAAAATTTTTGATGATACTTTATCTTCATCTTGTCCATTTTATATGCAAATCATCTAAATGCTCTCTATTAAATATGAAACTCAATCCAAATGATCCTTCTGAGTGCTCAAAGCTGTGTACGACCGAGACAAACCTTCTGCAGGTGGGCTCTCATGCTTCTAACCTCCAACACGTTATGCCGAATACAGAATGGTTTCCACTCACTCCATGTTTACTAATGTGTCCTTGAAATCCTTTCTTTTAAATCATTTTATTGGGGCCTCATACCACTCTTATCGCAATCTATATATACATCAATTGTGTAAAGCACTTTTGTACATTCGTTACCCTCATCATTCTCAAATCATTTGCTATCCACTTAAGCCCCTCGCATCAGCTCCTCATTTCCCCCCTCCCACCTCCTTCCCACCTCCCTCATGAACCCTTGATAATTTATAAATTATTATTTTGTCATACCTTACACCATCCAACTTCTCCCTTCACCCACTTTTCTGTTGTCCATCCCCCAGGGAGGAGGTTATATGTAGATCCCTGTAATCAGTTCCCCCTTTCCAGCCCACCTTCCCGCATCCCTCTCACCACTGGTCCTGAAGGGATCATCCATCCTGGATTCCCTGTGTTTTCAGTTCCTATCTGTACCAGTGTACTTCCTCTGGTCTAGCCAAATTTGTAAAATAGAATTGGGATCATGATAGCGGGAGGCAGGAAGCATTTAGGAACTAGAGGAAAGTGATATGTTTCATTGTTGCTGCACTGCACCCTGACTGGCTCGTCT